ATGGAGCGGCGTTTGGAACGGGCCAGGGACATGCAGCTTTGGTTTATAACGTCCTTCTTTGATATTGGACATGCATGTTATGGTCAATTGACACCTATTAAAACATGGTATCCGCTGACCAGTATCACGTGACCATATCGCAGGCTCAAGTTTAGAGCTTATCGTGGTCACGCGGTTGTTTTAGATTTGGCTGCTGACCAAGTGCTGGTTTTCCATTGGAACGCAGGTTCACATCAGGTTAACTTAACAAGATTGCAAAAACATATACCCCAACAATTTATAGCTATTCTAACCAGGGTCGGGTTGTTCGGAAGCCGGTAAACGCTAACCCAGGTTTAAAGGTTAACCGAAGCACAAATTTTTCTTGAAGACAAATGTTTTCACTGCTTTTGTTTTGTGTACTGTGAGATAGTTCCAACTCAAAACAGAAGGCCAAAAATTATACAGAAAACCTCACTGCAAATTTACAAAACCCGAATGAAAATTCTCGCCTATCTTGGGTTAGTTTAATCGGGCTTTGAGCAATCTGGCCCAGGAGCTCCGCTTGTAAGGCTTGGATAAATCTATATATAAAGCAATTTGAGAGAAACTAAGGGTGGATAATTGTATTCTAGCCTTTGTAAATTGCTTATGAGAGCGCATCGAAAGAGCCATATATCTCCTTTTTCGAGTGATTAAAAAGACAATCTAAAGTTTCATGATTTTTGAAAAGTTAAAAGTAGAATACAATGTTTGTGTACGCTCTTATGATGGGAAAGGAGCAAAATAAACTATTTTTAGCATTACAATGAAGACCAATAAACATTGTTCAAACGTACAGAACGCGTAAAGTTTCAAGAGTGGAAAATACGCCGGCACTAATATTCTGGATACTGTTGGAACTGAGGTCCCTAGAAAAAGGATATATCTTTAAAAAACAATAACTAAAATATAAATCAGTCTATACTTTATTTTAAACTCGTTGCGTCCAAGCGTAAGTAAGCTCGATCAAAATACGAACGTGTATGGAAAAAAATATTTAAATAGATAAAATAAATTACATTATCACATAAGCAACACAGTTGAATATCTACAGTATAAAACGAGAACGAGAGCGCAAGAAGTTGGACACAGCCAATGCCAAATAGACAATCGAAATAAAACAATTCCTCTTATTCTAAAAACTTATATCTTTTTTATGTCATAATCTCGGCAAGGGATAAATGAACAACTATGAAATTCCCAGCTTTACAGAATAAATAAGTCCATCCTGTCAAAATCCTGAAAAAGGCTCTCGGTTTTGGGGAGGGGGAGGGGGGAGGGAGGGGAATGACAATTTCACGTTATTAAATGCATATTTAAAAACCTGGTGTTGCCTGCACGGGCATTTAAAAATTATGAATGTGAGAGTCAGGTCTTCTGCTCAAAAACACAGCACAACAACCCTGGCCAGTGCGCTTGCAGTGTTGTATGTAGCCGGGTTGCCAGTTCAGGAGTGAAATGCGTTAACAATTACGGCACTACATGTCCCATGCACCTGCAGTCATTTGATTGAACATCTGTGGGATTATTGAAAACATGGTAGGCATATGCCGTGTGCCCAAGCTTAATGGGATTTCATTTGACTTAATATTCTTTGAGGTGTGCCTTAGAATTTTCGTCGTGTTGTTCAGGCACAGCAACGGTACAAAATGATAGTTTTCTCTGTGATGTGACTAACCAGAAGTGAGTCAGAGACTCCTGCACATAGGAAGAAAACGTTTAGGTGTTATTTACGTACAGCACAAATAACTTTGTAAGGGAGGAAAACAGAGCCGTGGTGAGGTGCCGGATATTGTTTGAACCCAGATACCTGTCAAAAATAATGAATGAATAGATGAGTTTCAGTGGAAAACCGATTTAATCTTCTTAGTATGTGCTCGCGATCATTTCAACAATGAAAAAAGCCCTGGATACATCTTGTCTTATTTTATGCCAACACCGTTGTCGACGAATTCAAGCTGATAGCCCACCCCCTCTCTGCTCCGGCCCACCACTTCCCCCAATACTTTTTGACCAGTCCCTAACTGCATCGAGAGCGTCAGTCAACATTCAAAACCAAAATTGGTTCTCTTCTCCTTTTCAAGGCTGAAGACATTGGAACTAACTAAAACTTGTAGCTTCTTTTTAGCAGAGATATGCACCAAGCTTAATTCTATTTAAAGACCCGTTCTATAGGAAAAACTAGCTTTGTCTTTTAATTGACATCAGACAAAAGAGGGAGCAAAATAGGAAGGTTAAGTTTCCAACGACTCAGTGAGCCGTTGAACGTTTGAAAGCGTAGATGCATATGAATATATAACATAAAAATAACTGGACTGTGCTAAGATGAATTAGTATGTAGAAAAAGAAATTCTTGGCATTCTTGAGTGGCAATCGTTTCGAAATGAAAGTCACTCCCAATTCCAAATAAAAGTCGATTTATTTCACAAAGATCAAACTCGTGCTTAAAGAATAGCTCTCAACATACAGATATTCTAAGCTCGGAAGAGGAAAAACACCAGCGATAAGGTTTTCAATCCTGTTTGAAAACAAGTTCCTGTAGGAGGGGGATAATTAAAAAAAAAGAGCAAAGAACGAAAATAAGTCTAAAGCAGATCCTTTTGAAACTGATAATCTTTTCCCCAGTGTATAATTACGTAACTCCATGTATAATTACGTAACTATGCATGTTTAGAAGGTTATTCTGTGGTGTGTTCAGTTACCAGGCGCATAGGTGATTACATACAGCCAGCATCTTCCAGATGTGTTGTTGTTGCTGTTGTTGTTGTCGTTTTTTTTTTTTTCATTTTTTTTGCCCGTTAACTTTAAATTTGGTGCCAAAACCTGATAACTCGCTTGTTGTTTCATTCAAAACCAAAAAGGGCTTGTTCTTGACTACATAAAACCTGTAATTCTCGTGTTAAGTATTACAACAGGCCAGCATAACTTTGGATTGCTTTTATTTTTGTTAGCTTCTAAAAAGAGACTTTTTCGTGTTATGACTGCCGCTCCCACTTCGGGCACTGATTTCTGCTGCCATATATGTAAGGCATATGAACATGTAAAATGTTTGTTCCGCGCAGTCACCTGTTGGTACCATAACGCGCCAGTTTTAAAATGAGTAAGAAACAAACTGGTCATCATTACTCGCAAAACAGAAGCAGGTAACTTTGTAGCGTCCAATAAAGATGATAAGATAGCTTCGAAACGATACACACTGTTAGGGAAGAGGACGAGGCCCCCAGTAGAAATCACTTTAGAACCTACTGTTTTGGATAATGCCTTAAAGATTTACTATGAAAATATAAAACATTTCAACTCTATTAGCAGTGTCATAGTCATGTAGTGTTCTCATATAGGTTTTAAATCTTTGATACAACATTACGTAACTGATTTACAAGAACTAAAGATAGATACAACTAAAATAGATAGTAAGGTCTTAGAATAAAAGAATACCCTGACCAAGAGAAATCAGACAGCGCACTGGATGTAAACTCTTTACTTACAGAACTTGCAACTCATGCAGTGTCTCAAATACCCCCTTAGTTAGGTGTGTAAGAGCATTTAGACTTAAATCTCTGTGAAAAAAAAGTATGAAAATGACTTAACATTAGTGAGATAACCAATGAAAGCTGTTATGTTATTTATGTGGCCATAAACTTACCTCTGCGTTCTTGGCTAGGAACAGGCTGATTTACTGCTAAATTTTTTTTTTGCACTGCAATAAAAACTAACGCACGCACGCTTTTCATTTTCTCAGTAAATTTGAACAATTCTGGATTTACAATACTTATACTATTTGTAAATTCTTCCAAATTGCACTCGCTTGAATTTCGTGCAATTTTGAGAGAATTTTCAGATATCACTCGTTGTGTAAAATCTAATAGCACTCACAGTCATACGAATACCTATCCATATTATATGACTGATTAGATAACTTTATTGTGATTAGCTAAGAGCATGCCAACTTCTTCGTTACTTTTCCAAAGGTTTATTAGTGGCGTTGGCCACTAATAAAGGTACTATTCCGCTCTCGAACGTTTGCCATGGATAAGGGCTCGGGCCTAATTGCTGAACAAAAATATTTCCTTTGCCGTTGGTTCTTTTCTGTCTCGTGAGTGACGTTTTAAATACTTATTGGGTTGAAGGAATGGGATGTCCTCCAGTTTACCTCCAGTGTGAGAAAATCAAAAGAAACGATTTCAACTGCGCTCGGAAATTATGCTTGCTGTAAACTACATCCAAACAGAAATGGTAAATATTAAAACCAAGTGAGCAGTTTAAAGTCAATTTGCTGTAGGGTTGATATGTTTCACTTACAAGTATCCCAGACTTTTCAGATTAGCAAACACTCCGTCGGGTAGAGATTTGATAGAGTTTGAATTTAATGACCTGGCAAATGTTTGAAATCAAAACTTAAATGCTGAAAAATAACATTCTTTTAGATTAAAGATTTCGATTTCGTACTGTAATGAATGTGGATACACCATGTTAAGATTTTATATTTGTTCTTGTTTTCGATTGTACACATTATATAATCATTTTCGATTAATTCTCAGTTGAAACAGAGGGCTAGTGAAACACTTAGACTAGCTGTTAATGTGCAATTAAGAAACGTGAATTATCCACCGTCACGGTGGCGAGTTTGTAAAAGCTGACGTATTGAGTGTTAGCACATCGTTGATGGTTGATTTCGCTTTTCCAAATCCCCTACGACGGCAAATTTACCGTTATCACTTTATGTTGACAATCGTATAAGTGATTTTGGCTCAATTGATAATACAATAAATAATAATTGACAATAAATAATAATAAAACAACAACAACAACAACAACAACAACAACAACAGCAACAACAGCAAACAAAAAGAAACAAAACAAAACAGAAACAAGATCAAAACCAAAAACCAAAAACAAAACAGCAAATAAATACATTTTCTCAAAAGGCCAGGGTACCTAAGGATTGCTGTTTAATTTAAAGTGGTAAAAAAATCATCACTGTTTATCACTTAGCCATTATGGATCTTGGGAAATCCATTTAGCGAGTAAACCCTTCAAACTTACAAGGTTTTCAGACGCAGGTTGCCAAACACTCCATTAGTTAAGAATGCAATATTGTTATCAGATAAACTCCTGTGTAAATTAATCAACCAATGAGTAAAGCCTGAAAAGAGTTTTAAAATACCTTAAATTCTCCCGCCCTTGAAATGAAACAAGACAAAAACAAGTTGTGTTGGAAAAAAATGGGGAAGGGATGAGGTACTCGAGTTACCAATTGGAATCATGTAGGATCACAAACGTCAGGTTCTTGGCAACGAGAAGACATAGTCCTCTTGTAAGAGGGAACATCCGTTCGTAATTGACATGTGCATAATTGAAAAGTAGTGATGTAATTGGCCAAGAATTAACATGGCAAGGTACCGCATTGGGGTGAATTTGACCTTTGGATGTAACGAAAGAGAGCCTTTATCATACTAACATATTGCATAGGAGATCTGTTTTTTTTTTTAATATATATATATATTTTAACTTTTTATAACTTTTCTCACCACCCTTTTATGGTTGCGCCATTAATTAAAATTTATATTACCTATAAACTGGCTCCTATGGCGTTAGTATAAATAGTAATTTTTAATTCATTCTATGTGATTATACCGATATTTAGAGCAAAAAGTCCCGTCAATTTTAGTTTTGGTGATGTCCTACTAAGCTATGTTAGAAAAAAATCCACCAGTGCTTTGGAACAAAGTCCTCAAAAAGGATAACGGTATACAACTGTTTTTGAAAAAAAAAACTAAAGAAAAAAAGAAGAAATAGGAATGAAAGCTATGATTGAAAAGTTCTGCTATGACTTACAGAAATGTCAAAGATTTCAAATTGGTAAACAAACCGTCTGGTAGAAATTCAATATTGTTTGAATAGAAACGCCTGCCGAAAGAAATTTAAAAAAAATTAAATTTTTAATGATAGTTATCGCGTCTTGATGAAATTGATCAAGTAAATTATTTAAGCTATTTGCTACGCGTTGCTGGAAATAAAACAATCAAGTAAATCAACAAACCATTTTAAAAGGATGATTTCACTTCGGCGCATGTGATGGCCATGACGTGGGGGGGTGAGAACCTTTTTCTATTTCTCGCGGAACCTCAATTAGTTTAGCGATTATATAATACAACAATATTTTGTGTAGGTGGAATAAGTCATATGTCTGAAATGTCATGGGGCATGTCAAGGGATTTATTCAGAAAATATGATTTTAAGGTTTTAGCATCAATCATTATCAATTTGCGCAGGACTACCAGAATCCGCCGAAGGCAATTTTTGAAAGTCAATAAAATATTCGACGAAACTTAAACTTAGTAGAAGTTGTCTTCACTTACAGAAATTTCAGATTCACTAAGTGGGCAAACACTCCATCTGGTAGGAATGTGATATTGTTTGAAAACAAATCCCTACCAAATAAATTAGTCAGTCGAGAAAATATATTAATTATTTCTTTCACAAAATTACCGTGCACAGTGTGCACGCTCATTTCACGTAAAACTGCATGTAAAAAAGTGTCATTAACATAAGTAGTCAATGTTTTACATTTAATTTAGAACTGCGCTTAGAAAGATAATTGTGAGTGACGTGGCAACTGGCAACTGGCATGAGAGGTGAAATATCGATCAAGCTGCCCTGGGACATATTATGCTGTGCTTTGTTCTAAGCCAAAGCAATTTGCTCTTAAAACGTTCCTCGTTCCACTCAGGAGAATAAATGCATGCTGACGATTTGTAGCAAAAATCGCTAACGACAGTAGCAGAAGTTGAGAAGAGTGGAAGAAGAGGATACACAAGAGTTTAAGCATAAAAACCATAGTTAGATGGTCTTACAAAGACGTAGTAATTGCTGGAACACAACTAATTGTGTCCGTGATTGATACTGCGTTACTGCACTTCAGAGTATTTCCGTTTTCGGCGTATTTCCGGTATGTTGAAAAGCAGTGACGTCCGCAATCTAAAATGTAGTGTAAAACCCAAATATATAATTAGCTTGAATTCAATTTTTCAATTAATTTCTCCTGTTATTAACTGTGCCTTCAGGACCTAAAATGAAGCTAATGGTAGGATTGGTAAAACTCCCCCTGGAGTACTCTTGAGACATCATGCCTATATTTTGTATCTTGATCCTGTACGTTAACATTATAGTTAACTGTTCCTAAAGATGATATTAACCCAAATGAAGTCATGAAATCATTTGAACACCAACGCATTTCAGAGCTAGATCGCAACAATGCTCCCATTTTGCAAAGATTGCTTGATTTTAATTTTACGTCGATACGTTTTTTCTAGTATTTTGATTTTCGTATACATAAAGTTTTCTGCTTTCAGATTTGGTAGGTAGTTAAGAAAAAGAACGGAGAATGTGTAGCATCCATGTCCTACTTTCCAGAACTCCGAGTTTCGCATAATTTCTAACTGTTTCGCGCAAACTACTCCTGACTGCTTATAGTTAGTCTTTTTTTATTCCTTAGTATCTAACATATATAGGCAACAATGAATGTTCTGTTTAAAAGAGGTCTCACCAACAAATATGACTGAGAAGTCCTTAACGTCTACCCCATATTCGTTGGTTGCCTGGCATGTGTAGTTTCCCCCTTGAATGATAGCTTCAATGACGCCTGTTGTATTTGCAAGTACTGTAGAGTTCCTTATCAGTGCTGTATGTATCGGAGGAGTTCCAGTGACTGGACACGACAGCCTGTAACCCGGTAATACTCGCACAACAGATTCTGGTAACTCAATCTTGGGTGCAGCTATTGAATTTCAATAAACCACACATAATTAATTTTAGATCCTGTTGCAGTTAAACAACAATACAGTGGTCTGTGAAGTATGCAGTGTTCTCCTTGGTAAAGGTAGGTCAAGTCTGCATTCGAGCAAGGTGGCCCATCAGGCCGGTGCTTATCGCCAGTTTCTGTAGCATGAAGCGACTGGGAGTATTTCCACTACCCCCTAGATGGGATGCCAGCCCATCGCAGAGTTACCCCCAACATTAAGTTCGCCGGTACCCATTTATATATCTGGGTAGAGAAAGGCACTGTAAGAGAAACGTGTTTAACCCAAGAACACAACACAATGTCCCCAACCAGGGCTCAAGCACGGACCGCTCGATCTGGAGGCGAAACTCATTAACCATGAAGCCACCACGCTTTCACAATTGAGTAAATTAAGGAAATTAACGTCCAATACCCAGATTAGTTAATTTTTGTTTTGTTTTTGTTCTCCCTTAAGCCAGACTGAATACTACAAATTCTTCCTTCATCTCTCCTGTCTTACAATTAGACATAACTAGGCTAGAGCCTAACTCGAAAACCTAACGGTTCATTTGGCCTCGAGCTCTAGTCTCATTCAAACAAGATTAAAACAGCTATCTCATGTAAAACATCAGTACCGCATATATTAAATTGACTAAAAGTGTTAAAATATTTCCATTTATATTGATAAAATAAAGATGTTGTTTTTGTTGTTGTTATTGTTAAGGTTGTTATCATTTTAAAAATGTCGGTTGGCCCCCATCATTATCACATGCGAATGCTATAGACATCACAAGTGGCGCCGCGGATCCTTTTTTTGATAGTCTTAAGTAAAATGTTCTGTTGTGACTCCATGCTGGTTCTTGCTCTGCTGTAAAAAGGGATATCAGTATTATTTTATATTGGACTTACTAGGCTTAAATAAGTTGAGCAACAACAGGAACCCTCTTCTTTGAACAACGTTGTTTGAGTGGAATGTGAACACTGCGTACTTTCCAGTGACAATAACTGATTCGCCAGTCTTTCTTCCACAGTACATGCCAAATGGCTCGCTGTTCTCATTAATAATTGTCAAATAGTCATAGCTACAAAACAATAAAAGACCACTTAGTTAGATGCTACATGCAGTGTACTGGTGGTGTACTACAGTTCTTGTTCTTGGACAAAATACCATTTATTTCTCAATTATACCGCGACACTTTTTAAACATCTGACAGCAGTGAAAACCGCTAAGACTGTCAGCTGTCATAGAAGAAAAAGAAGAAGAAGAAGAAGAAGAAGAAGAAGGTTTCAACGTAACTGAGTCAGGCAAATACTTTGTCTCTAAATAGATGTTACAACATAAGCAAGCACGATTATATGGAAGACTCAATGCGAATAAATGCTTTTCAAAAAGCAAAAGCGATTTTAGGCAAAAATAAATTCTGCTGTATTTGTTTATAAAAAAAGAACAAAATTTTCAAACATGGCTTTTGTTTATTAATTTAAAATGCCGCTGTGGTTAAATTACGAGAATAACTCCTTCTCCATTTCATTTCGATCTTAAGGTTGACCTTAGAAACACAACCATGATGGTGCCAGGGGAGGGAACTGAATTTCCCCCCTCCCTTATAATGATTCAAAATAAGATATTACCATGTCTTTTCTAATACGAAAATATCAAAATCAGTTTAGGCATGGATGATATGACGTCACAAGACGAAGCTGAGCGATTCTGCTCTCCAACAATCACTCAACCATTCATTTTCACCGGGGAACATTTTCCGGTTACAGGCTGTATAAATTAATACTTATGTATTTTCGTACCTGCATGATGAACTGTCTTGCAAGTCAAAATCTTGGAAATTAATCCCCATTGCCATGCCTTGTGGAATAGGAACCGTGTAATTACAATCCATATTGGCTGCGTAGTTGTGTGGATATCCTGGACTTCTTAGAATGTTGTTTACCACTGAACCGCATTCTGTTAAAGCAATAGAACAGTCAGCTCTTCAAAATTCGTTACTGAGCAGTTAATTTACCGTCAACAACTTAAAGCTGATAATCAAGTAACTTTTTGACCGGCCCGTTTCTGACCCGTCGAATCTTTATAGCAGTTATTTCTTTTAGTCATTGCATCCGGTTAAAAAAATGGCTTATTTATTTTTCATTCATTTATTCAATTGTTTATGCGGTCCATAGTCCACCCATCTTACTTATTCGTATTCCTAGCCATTCCTGGATATTTTTGTTTTTGTTTTTTGTTCTTTTTTCTTCGGCTAGATTGTAGAATACCGGATCACTCATTTGCACCTCTTTGAAATTGAATGGTTCCTTTTGTTTCTACATGCCTCGTTCTTAGAAGCATTGAGAGATATGTTAATAAGTGGCCCGGAATTGTAAAATCGCTCCAAAAATTGATTGCTGCAATGACTCCAGCGCGCCGCACTGAAGATAACATAGAAATAAAAATACCTTGATTAATGTAAGTCAGAAAAATAATCCTCACCGACAAAGACGATTGAATACTTTCTCACATCAGTTCCATACTTGCTGGTGGCCACACATGTGTAGTTATATTCCACGTACAAATAGATGCCTACAGGACTTGTCCTGTTCACCATCAATATATTGTTCCTAAACAGCGCTATGTATATAGGAGGTGTTCCAGTCGCCAAACACCATAGTATGTTACCTGGTATTGCTGACACAACAGAATCTCTCAACGTTAATGTTGGTGCCGCTATGAGACAAAGAGGGAAACGACGCAAAGTTTACGTATATTCCAAGAAATACAACAAAACCTCCTCGCGAAACACACGTTAGCCTCAAAAGACGAATTCAGCCAAGTTATTTACAACTTTGTTGCCACCCTATTTAGATCATGCGATGATTCATTTGGGAGGTTTTAATTGTTCTGTTACATAGTCCCATGCAATCACTTGTGTGCGGGAAATGGCATGCTTGTAACCTCTCAAATGAATCATCACGTGGCCTGAATTGGGTGGCAAAAAAGATGTAAACACGTTAGCCGAATCCGTCTATCGAGGCAAACGACACTGGAAACCTTACTTTAAACTATTTTTTTTCCAATATTTTGAACAACTGGATTGCTTCAATTATATCCCTCGTGTGAAAAAAATGGAGGATTAGTAGCATCTGGGGAAAGCATTTTATGTCTTTCTGTTTATGCTTTTGATACTTCCCCACTTTGTTGCACGTTCTGCAGCAAATTCAATGAAGTGTGGAAATAGCAAAAAAAAAGCGCTAGACTAATACTGCTACTACTACTGCTGATAATAATAATAATAATAATAATAATAATTATAATTATAATGATAATGATAATTGTGTAGCTGGATCTGCTTCCTTTCCTCTGTTATTGCTCAAAATAACGAGGTTGCTTTCACGAGGTCTGAAGTTTAATGGAATCAAAGACTTTGGAGATTTCTCGTTTCGCCTATTGTAAAAGGAGAATCTCTTCAGTTTTTCAAACAAAAAGAGAATAACCTCATTTTAATTTATGACAGAAAAAAAAAATCAAAAAGCATTTCTATTGCACTTACCAATCGGAGTTGAAGTGAGTGTTACAACAAACCCTCTCTTCTGTACACTTTGATCTGAATGGAATGTCATCACAACCTGATTTCCAGTTACAGTAACTGTCCTTCCAGTCCTGTCACCGCAGTACGTACCAAACGTCTCGTTCACGTCATTGCTGATTTTCAGATAGTCATACCTAGAAAAAGAAATATTTATTCCGTGGCCAAATGCAACTTTTTCTTGTTTTATATTCTTAGAGCACTGCAACATCTGTCTTGTCCACGAAAAAGAGATTTAAGTTTTGACGGGCCCAAACCGGAGGCAGAGCAGGCAAGACTATACTCGGGTTTCATTATGAAGTAACTCTTAATTTCCTTGCTTTTGTCGGTCCTAATAAGTGCATTTAGGGAAGTGGTCAAAACTATTATACATATAAGGGACCCACTA